CATCATCATCATCATCATCACTATTATTATTATTATATTATTATTATTATCATTATTATTACTATTATTATTATTATCATCATTATAATTATTAATATTATTATCATGATCATCATCATCATCACTATTATTATAATTATCATCATTGTCATCATGATAAGTATTATCATTATTATTATTATTATCATTGTCATCATGATAAGTATTATCATTATTATTACTATTATTATTATTATCATTATTATTACTATTATTATTATTATCATAGTTATTATAATTGTTATTATTATTATCATCATTGTCATCATGATAAGTATTATTATTATTATTACTATTATCATTGTCATCATGATAACCATTATTATTATTATCATTATTTATTATTATTATTATCATAGTTATTATAATTGTTATTATTATTATCATTGTCATCATGATAAGTATTATCATTATTATTATTATTATTATCATTGTCATCATTGCAATTATTATAATTATTATTATTATTATCATTGTCATCATGATAAGTATTATCATTATTATTATTATTATCATAGTTATTATAATTGTTATTATTATTATCATCATTATAATTATTAATATTATTATCATTATCATCATCATCATCATCACTATTATTATTATTATCATTGTCATCATGATAAGTATTATCATTATTATTATTATTATCATTATCATCATCATCATCATCATCATCATCATCATCATCACTATTATTATTATTATCATTGTCATCATGATAAGTATTATCATTATTATTATTATTAGTATTATTATTATTATAGTTATTATAATTGTTATTATTATTATTATAGTTATTATAATTGTTATTATTATTATCATAGTTATTATAATTGTTATTATTATCATTATCATCATCATCATCACTATTATTATTATTATTATCATTGTCATCATGATAAGTATTATCATTATTATTATTATTATCATAGTTATACTTTGTTGTTTATATTTCTCAATGTATCAGTTATCAGTATCATCATTACATTAACCAATCTTTATCATCACATCACATTAGTATCAATACAGCACTATATAACATTACTGATTATGTTCATATTAACAATATAAATGCAGACATTTAAACACAGTACAACTTTAGCCCTGACGTTCATACTTAGGAATAAGCAAACGTACAGGAAGGGCTTAATGTACAAACTAATCGGTCACTGATAATAAGAGGATTAAAAAACACTTTTAAATGCATTTACTGGATATGACAGCCGTTTTAAAAGGCTCGATTTTAGGCCTAAACCTTGAAAGTCAAATTGAGGGAAAGTTTTTTTTTTTTTTTTTTCTCGTGACATTATCTATTGAGACGGGTAATGCCAGGGACAAATATACCCTTGTGAGTCTGATATTTGCGGTTGGCAACAGTGGGAATCAAGGTCGATGAAAAAAAAGAGTAAGATAACAAGGTTAATGATAAATTAGAATAACGTTAATTTAAAAAGATACCGTTTTCTATGGCTCGCCCAGGGATGAAAGAGAGATGGATGGATAAGAGCATTTTATATATCCATATCTCAAATCTGAAAGCCCATGACGTGCGTTTTTGTCGTAATAATCCTTACACTTAATTCTTAGAATTCTTAAAAATGGAAAAACGGTTTATAATGGGAGTTAAAAATCCATGAGATAATTGATCTAGTTCTCCATCCCCGGTAACGTTTTGCGAGAAATATGAGTCTTGTAAGAGAGAAACATATAAAAAATACATAGAATTCTTATACAACTCTGTTAATGCAGTCAGAGTGAACAAAACCTTTAATTATACGTGATCTACTCCATCATACATGTCAAAAGCCAAGAAAGGCCATGGAAAGAGAAAAATCTGGCACCTTCACAATCCAAGGTAACGTTTCATGGGTGACGAATATAACGTATATAACAAATCCGGAACTCTCCTACCACGTATTTAAAAAATATATATCAATCCCTCGAACATAAAACGCCACCTTTACGAATATTACAGGTCAAGAAAGAGAGAAAAAAGAGCTCTCAAATGGAGATCTTTTAACCCCCCCATCAGACGGTTCCTCTGAGGCACCGTGAGGAACAAGGTCTTCGGCTGCGACTCTCTCTCGCCCTCTCTCTATTTCCTCTCTTTTATTATCCCCTTTCCTCCCCGTCAGTCCCTATGGAAATTGGGGAGTACCTGCAGAGTTGTGCCGGCCTGCTGCACGACCTGCTCAGGCCTGGGAGATAACTGGGAATAAAGAGAAGAGGAGGAGGAGATAGAAGAACCGAGGGAGGAAGGCAAAACGTAACACAGGTAAGGACGATAAGTGGGTTTTTTTTTCCCACTTAATGCGTATTTCGACGGGTAATTTCTTTCTTTATTAATGTGTCTTGTCTTTTCTCTTCTTAATATTGACTGAGGAGAGAATTGCCTGTCCTTTCCTCCCTCTATTAGGGGGTTAGAATTATGTAATGGCTTTTATTATTAGTCATTGAT